AGCAACAATAGGTATATCGTATTTCACATTTTAATCCTGCAGGAATTTCACTAACAGATTTTTATATTGCTATTACTTATTATCATTTTACACTTTCTAGCCACTACATCGACCACTTCCACAACTGCTACGACAACTACGACAACAACAACGACAACCACAACTTCAACGACGACAACAACAACAACTACAACAACAACGACAACAACCTCAACAACAACTACATCGACAACATCCACGACAACTACAACAACGACCTTGACAACAGCTACAACTTCAACAACCACCACAACACAAATGACTGGTACGTACTATTTTCATTTATTAGAACTGAATGGTTTAGGAAGAATTCTTCCCTTCGTAATAATGTTTTTAGTAGAAAAGCCCTTAATCAGTCAGATCATCTTTTTCGGATAGCATTGGTGCATAATACTTCGTATCTAAAGAATTCAAATCTCTTTATCTCTTTCTAAACTCTTGAATATTTTCTGAAAACAAAAAAAACATGATGCTGTTGGAAAATGTTACGTTTCGAAAAATATAAATTCTCTCGAGTTACATAGAAAATCGGAGGGCCGACAATAACAACAAGACATTGTTTTCATACACGAAAAAACTACTCCTCCCAATCATCGATTCATACTTACTAAACCTGCAACTTGAATTCAACTTAAATTTCAAGGTTCAAAAACTCTACCACAGGATGTCTCGCTTAGTATGAGCTCACAAAAAGCACCAGAACGTAGGAAAATAAATTTAAAACTTGAAACTTGAAGAACAGTTGTTCAGTTGAATTCAGCACTCACCCAGGTTGGATGAAACGACCCGTAAACAGTCGTAAACAACAAAAATACGGCACAATAGGGTGGTCATAACGACTGATCGCTTACAAATGAACGTATACGATCTTGAAACGGTGAAATACGATAACATTTTCGACGATCGTATACGGAGAACCGTAAAAGGCAGCGTACCGGCCACTATAAACGTTACGCATTTAAGTTTGGTTTCGCAGCCGCCCTATATTTTCTATGTAACTCGAGAGAATTTATATTTTTCGAAACGTAACATTTTCCAAC